ATATCGATTTCCTTTTTAAACAGGAATAGCATAAAACCTAAAGGCGTTCCGAGTATGAATCAGGCCCCTTTGAGGGTTCCGAAGGGATAAACTGTCTTATTATAAATTGCTTTTGACTGATTTAGATATTTTATGTCTGACCAACGACTACCGTTAATATTTGCTAATAGTGCGCACTTTTTTAAGGGGAAAATAAGAGTCAAGAAAGGGGTTAAACGATACTCAAGAACAATCCAAAACCAGTCCTTGATCGCGACCATTTCTCGTAAATTTTTCGAGGATTTTCGGAAATGTTTTGAAATATGCTCGCAGCAATAAAACTGCTAAATTTCATTGAATAATTATTCCCTGATTGCATTATTTAATAAGTTTAAGTCATATAATACTATAGAATCGGATACATAAACTCGAGTAAAGTAGGCTAAACTTTTCAGGGCGTTGCATTGTGAATTGATCAATACCAAGTATCGGGAAACATAACGAAGAATTGCATCGCATTCATCATTCTGTGGTTAAAATGTTGTTTTTGGGTAAAATCATGCTGAACTCTTCAATCTTGGCCGTAGGAGTGTGTCAAAACGACATGGGTTAAGTGGCGAAGTTAGCAAGTTTGTGTACCGCAAAGAGTCAAGGTAGCGTGATACTATTAACCGGCAGGAATTTACAATGACATCCATGCGAATTGAACCGATAATGATAAAGTTTGAGTTTGAAAATCAAATATCAACGGTTTCGAAACAGCCAAATACATTCCGATCTTTTCTTTTCGAAGAAGAATTGCTGAAATCAAAATTGTTTGTTGTTCTTTATGTCTCGCGAATTCGGCTGTTGGCGGTCCTCGTCGGAGTGACTGCCTTTAAGCGTACACATTCTGCCGATATCGGTGACAGAGATTCAGTCGGATTTGCAGACGATCAGAAAACTACTTGGAAAAAAGTGTATTTCATAACAAAAAAAACTAGAAGATTTATCCGTAAATAAGATTGAATCTTTTCTGAAACTTATTGTTGTGAAAACAACATCGTTATTTTCCAATTACCTGTTCTGTCGGCCATGCCAGGTGACCGTGTCAGCGCGCAGATCTCCCCGTATTCGAGGTGTCGGTCAACGCTAACGTTATATTTGCGACATGCTTTCTTATTAATTCCATGTGTTGGCATGGCTACCTGAACAGCATGTATGTATTTACACCTGGTAATTGTTTACCATTTTGATTGACAGGTGGATATATATCCGTTGTAGCTTGGTCAATGATTTATCGGAAAATGATCATACAGAATGATGGGTTGACTTTCATGTCATTCTGACATATTTCTAGTTTCTGTTTTACAATTATAGCTATTACTATTACCTATATGTTGTAAAGCGCTTTAGAGTAATTTTACAAATTTAATAGGGCGCTTTATAAATGTTGTATTTTATTATTATTATTTATCTTACATTACCGAAGCCTTCATATCTATAGTGAATAATTCTTCACATGCCACATAACAAAAAAATTCAGATGTACTAAACACTTCCGGATACCTCAAATAACGAAAGACCTTCATATCTAATGAACACTTCATGATACTCGAAATAGTCAAACCATTCAGATCTGGTGAACACTTCATGATACTCGAAATAGTCAAACCATTCAGATCTGGTGAACACTTCATGATACTCGAAAAAGCCAAACCATTCAGATCTGGTGAACACTTCATGATACTCGAAAAAGCCAAACCATTCAGATCTGGTGAACACTTCATGACATCTGAAATTGTCAAAACATTCAGATCTTGCGAACAGTTCCTCACACCTAGTATAACCCAACCCTCCAGGACGTACGACAACACCAGACTGACGGTTATAGTCCGGTACCCAACACGTCATCTGAGGTACCCTAGCACTAGCATATCTAGCGACTCGCATACCAATGCTCCGGGGGAACAATTCGGAGGAATTGAAATTTCATTTATTTCTTCTGATTACACTTATATCATAAAATCTATAAGTGTTTTCATGATTTCTTCCATCAGGTGATCATATTCCAAGATTGCACGTGTGATTGTTTGTAATAGCGTTCAGCAAAATTAGAAACGTACTTGCTGATAAACTAGTTGTTGCTGTCGGTTTCGCTGTAAACTCGATCACTAGTATACGTAATGTACCAGCCCCAGAGGTCATATTCCGAAGCTGATATTAAAGTTACAGGTGTTATTGGAAAGTTTCATTTTAAAACCTGCCGATGGGATTTTTAAATAAATTCACGATGGGATTTTATCAAATTTCAGTACAGTCTACCTTTAAATTGAATGCTTTTAAAACAACTTCCGTATAAAACTGTCTATGTATGGAAATAGTACAAGACAGATTCAATTATAACATTTCAAGTGTAAAGGTACTTTACAACGTCATCAATATTAAATTGTTTTCATTTCTGTCGTAAAAGATAATTATTCAAAAACCACGCATTTTGGAATTTATTTCCGAAAAAAAGTAAACGTTTGTAGATTAAAGAAACATTACCAGAGCTTGTTAAAGAAAATCATCCTTTAGAAAAGTCATGTTAGGAAAAATGCATATCACAACGTCAGGCTGAAGTTATCCAAGTGTCATTTTTCATTTTATTTCAGTTTCATGCTAATGACATGCATGTCGACTTATACATATTGCAAAAACATTCCGCAAATCAGTCGTTGGTTGAATATTTGCGAAAATGATAAGAATAACAATGTTGGGAATTACTCAGACATACTTCCCCTGCTTTTCTCTGTATCCAGAGTGTATAGCAAGGAAGCCATATAAACGACATGCAGTATGTCTAAGTAAGACCGATGTATTACAGGAATAGGTGATGACGATGATGGTCCGGTGTTACACGGTGTAATTACGTAATGTTCCCCCTATATTAATATAATATAATATAATATAATAGTACTGGACGCAGGCATATGCCTATATATCCAGATCAGGTGTATCGTCAGACTCTAAGCTGAATACAAGTATAAGTAGTTTCCTTTGCGTTGGTTAAAAACCGTTTGGTAACGTGTAACACCTCCGCTATACATCGACTTGTAAGGTGTAAGACTGGCTGACAAACTGTGTGTTATCGAATGAATAAGTCACGACTAACAGTGGATCCAACACCATCAACCCGTTAACATGGCGCCTCACATCGAAAGGGGGCATTTCTAAGGTTTATCGACAGGAACATTCATTGTCCATTATCAAATAATATCGTTTTTACAATTGTACTGTATAAGGTTCTGTCTCCCTAGATCATCATAAATATGAAAATCGTTCCGAAAATAGCGAATGGTTGACAACGATGACGTCACATCTAGGATATACGTTTCCATCTATTTTTGCTACCATTCTTTAGAATTGGTCGCTGTACCAGCCAAATGTGATTGATAAAGTCAGAGAGATCCGAATGTTCATACAGGATTGTTGGACATTGTTCTGCTATTCCACGCACGGCTGCGCAGTTGTTTGGTTATGGTCGGAAATTGATAAAATCAGAGAGCTCCGAATTGACATTTCAGGGTTATACTAATACCAGAACCAGACGGAAAACCAGGACCAAGTGCTTTAATGTTTCATGTTTTTTTAATGCAACTACCTTAATGAATTGATATGACATGAATAAAAATGCATTTTAGAAAAAGTTTATATCAAAATATACATCGCATTATGGTTTAAAACAGAAATCCAAAACACACCAAACGTACCAGTCCTGACATTACCAGTCCTGGTTTTAGTAAAAAAATCAAAATCACAAAAGCCGTAATAACAAGTAAAAATAGTATTTGAAACATATCTTTTTTATTTTATTTATACATTTAGTATGGTGTTCTTGTATTTCCTACATGAAATAAGCTTTAAAATTGAGTTAATAATACTTAAAATAAATATTTGGTCCCGGTTTTCCCTGTCCTGGTTTTAGTTAGGATTTTGTTGGTCCTGGCAGGATTTGGGTCACTACATTGAAAAATCACGCTATCTTACGTTGTAATTGTCATTGATTCTTATATTTTAAGTAATACTATTCATTGGTTGCATGCTATCCATGTTATCTCTTTCTCATTTGATGTTGATGCCCCTATTAGGGCTTTTACACTAAATCACATATATATTATGTAACAGGGTTTGCACAGGCCTTGAAAAGGCCTGTCCCTCAACTGAGGAATACTCATGCAGTTATGCGACGTAACCTTGTTCACAACATGCGTATGAGAGAAACTCCATAGTACCACCTGGCCAACAGGTTAACAGTTATGCGCTCGTGGACCTACATGTACATACCCATTTATCTCAAACTTTACTATAACTGCTAACGAATAAATAATGCTGTTGGTAGCCCTCTTAGCTTTTTGGAAAGCTAATACTTGTTCTTATTAGTATTACTCTGTATGTATATCATTCAGGAATGGAATTACATGTATTGATCAAGGAATATAAATTATAGAAATGAAAATATGGTCTATTGTCCACTTGTCCCCCTTTTACAGCGAGAGCATTATAATATTGGTCTCCTGTTAGGTGGATTGTGGTATCTCGGTAAGACTGGTATATCGACCTTGTCAAATTGGCAGTAATAAAGGAACAGCATTGTCGCCAGTAAGAGATAGTCCCCAGAGAGGTGACTGTCTCTGGCCACCAATTACTGCAGTCTGGCCAGTCCAGTTTCAATTGATCAGACGTACGTCATTAATAAAGCACCCCCACCCTCTCCCCATCACCCACTCTCCGCTCCCCCTTCCCCGGCAATGAATACCACAAAACCCCTACATTCCACAGATGTGCCTATCTAGAATGTTTCCAAACTCAGTTTTGTATGACTAATATATTGTTTAGCAGACGTCAATCATGATTACATCTGTATCAGTCTGGGTGCCATTCTATATTTGGATCTGAAATCGTAAATGTTCTGATACTAAGCGCTGTCCCATGTTGTGATTATAAAAGGATTTATATTGCATGTTATTAACAGGTCATTTCTCTTGTATATTTTGCAGGATCTTTTTGTAAAGTGATCCCGTGGTATACCATGCTTGGCCCAGACTATATCTCTACAATTCAGGTGTGCTCGGATTCCATCGGTGTCTTGAGCTCCGGCGATGATGATGCTATCGCAGAAACTGCTGTGTGCTTTCTATCATAAAACTATTGGAATCAGGTCTTAAACCTTGGCTGGAACAACGTTTAGATTTTTTTGTCAATAATAAGACAAAATCAATCATGTTGGAACATTTAAAATCCATAAATCGCTTCCTAGACATGTTCAGGAACAGAACAACGGAATTCGACTTCTCCAATACAACATCTACGCCTTGGGCGGAACGTCAATCTGGCGATGTGTTTGAGAAACTGATCCTGGGGTTTGCATATGGAATTCTCATCGTCATTTCGTTTTTTGGGAACAGTATTGTGTGTTATGTGATCCTGAGAAATAGACGAATGTACACGGTGACCAATTTCTTCATCGCTAACATGGCCATGTCGGATCTCCTGTTGACACTCTTCAACGTCCCGTTCAACATAGCCAAACATCTTCTGGACAACTGGCCATTCGGTGACGTTCTTTGTCACTTTGTGAATTTCTCACTCATGGTATCTGTCTATGTTTCGACCTTCACCTTGACTGCTATTGCCCTTGACCGACAGAACGTGCTACTCAAACCTCTCCAACCGCGCATGACCAAACAGATGGGTCTGGTTGTCCTGGTGATTATCTGGTTGATTGCAATATGTTTTTCCTTGCCGTATGGTATTTTCAATAAAGTACAAAGCACGAGCATGGTGATCAAGAGGGTTGATAGGTGTAGTCCACACTTTCCTGAACCACAAGAACTTTTTGCAAAGTATTTGACCCTGATCACCGTTGTATTGCAGTATATAATCCCACTAAGTATTATATCGGTGGCGTACGGCCGGATTGTGATGAGGCTGTGGAAACGCGTACAGCTCGGAGCCGTGACACGGACACAGCAAATGTCACAGGCAAGAGCGAAACGGAAAAGTATCAAGCTACTGGTGACTGTTGTGGTAGTGTTTGCGCTCTGCTGGATGCCTTTAAACTTGTATCACATATTGACCAAGTTCCATCCGGACGTTCGGACGTTTACCTATGATAGTACTACGTTTTTCGTGTTCCACTGGATCGCCATCAGCAGCACGTGTTACAACCCGTTCGTATACTGCTGGCTTAACGAGAGCTTCCGAGCCGAAGTCAAGTCTTGCTTCAGTTGCTGCAAGAGATCGCGACGAGTACATCCGGGCATTGATGTAGACGGCATGCTCATCCGCCACGATGCATTCCGACGTTCAAAAACGATAACAAGTGTGATTCGGTCGAGTACCACTTTTAGTTCCATTCGGATAACTACCAATACCAGCGTACACAGAGACTCGTATCCGTTCTGTGTACGAGATCAAACACCGCTGGTTAATTCTCAGAAATTTGTCTCAACGGAATTTTCCAATGTGATGTGCGAGGACACCTCTAATGGTTAAACAACTAGAATCTTCAATATTCGGAACACATCTGTCCCGCAGGTAATAATGTATGCCTCGCGGTGACGCGATGTGCCCAGTGTTTAGGACAATTAAGCAAAACACCACCTTTCTGTGAATGTTAACTCTTACATATCTAGATAACAATTAACTGGATCAATCAGTGGGATTTAGATAATCTTAATATTCAAATATGTATGTATGTCAACTGGAGTTAACAGCTGAGCGATTGGAACTTGATACAACAAGTTAAGGCTATTCCGGATTCTTGAAAGTCAGCAGAGGCACCCAAAACCATACATGGCATCAATTTGAAAAGAAGGATACAATCATTGGACGGTTGGACACATAAACATATGCCTGATTGAAACACTGGTCGGACGGGCAGACAGTCACGTTCCGTTATGGACAAAGGAGTGGGTTCGATCATGTGATCATTTTTTAAAACTTTTGAAAATGTGAAAGTATTGAATATGACTTTGTTTATAATATTTACAATATTTCTTGACGTTTTTTCTCTCTATATTTGACGATATTTGGTCGCACAAACATTGAGGCCCTTCAGAAACGGTTGCTACGTGTCAAAAGTCTTATTCGTGAGTATTTCAGTGAAGTCCCACAGGGGCTTGTGATCTTGTTATAGTTCTAGAACTGCCTGCTATCATTTTAGTACACCTAAGCTTATACAATGTGATTATATAATGTAGTTAAGTTCTGTATCTAACAACAACGACGATGGAAAACGTACAAAATAAAAAAGGCATTTGAGTTTATACATATAATGCATCCTAGCTAAAATTGATGATCAATCAACTTAAGCCAGAAAGAATCAAAGAAGCCCCTGTGATGAGTTACTAACTAAATAACTCTTTTCTCCATCACCCGGTGTAGATATTGAATTTGACACGCTGACACATATAACATTTTGCTTGCTGTCATTGAACTTCCGCTAACACTGTAAGCCAGATATCCTGTGCACTTAGTCATCCAAGTATTCTTCTGTGAAAATGTTCAACACGAGACCCACATGTTCAGTTTCTTTAACGAATATTCACTTTTAACATATATTGACGTGGTTTTTACCTATTTTATTTTTCAAATGTGAAAAACAAAAATTGAAAATCAACTAAATGAAAATTCATATATTATAGATAGTGAATGGCTACTTACAGAGACTGGCTGATTGGGTTAATTAACGCTAAACAAGATAGAACAGAGATATCTCCTTGATTCACTCGGAATTATTGTCTGTTTTTGTTTTGTTTATGTGATGTCAACATTGGTGACTGTAATCATTATTCTAAAGCTGAGACACGCACGATTTATACCACTTTATGATAACACGTCAATGATTAATACAGGGACGTTTTTTATGATAGGCATGTGATAGTCACGTGGTCATGTTTGGTGTTGTCTGGTTATATGTAACGTTAATCTTATTTTGACAGAACGCACGATATTAGTTTCAATTCGTGAAGAAGCCAACGTACTGAGGTCTCCCCAGTTTAGGCTGGTTTGGTCTATACTGGTGCTACTGTAGGCGGTACATAGCTACACTGGTTGTATATACAGATTCGTATGCCTCACTATCGTTTACTATCTCATTTGTGTCGATGTATCTTTTGAGAATTTTCTAGTTACGAACATAGGGACATGCTAATTTGTAACAGCTATATTTGGACCTTAACTGAGGTGTTAAAGACCAACATCACACGTTTTAGGGTTTCAATATCGGTAAAAACACAACCCCCCCACTGACGTTCGTATATATCGTCGTCGTCAATGGGGAGTGGCGTTTTCACCTTAAGTTAGTTATAAACCCCTCAGACGTGTGATGTTATTCTAAACAGCCCAGTTTTGGTCAAAATATATCTGTATCAAAGTCTCAGGTTCCGGTTGTGTCGAGTATTATTACTGTTTATATAATTCCCGGTTGTCCGGACAACATGCTGTCCTGTTAGTAGTCCGAAATAACTGGCAATCTCCTTTTATTTTTGAAAAAGAGACACTCAGTTATTTCGGCCTATCCTGTCGGCTGTCGATGACAATGTGTCTTTACATGTACACAGCTTATGTAATTCATCAATCATCGATATTACCATTTAAATAGTATTTAAAATAAGTATGTACTTGCCCTCCCCCGGTTTTCAGTACAATGTGTGTAACCAATTTTATGTTATCGTAAAAATGTTGTTGTTTTTATGTTAAAGAACAGGTTTCCATATTTAAGACAAGATGAAAATTTAATTAAAACCAGTTTGCTCAATGTAGAAAACGTGGAGAATTTCCTGTTAGTAATCAACTATAACAATTACCAATTACGTTAATTAGGAAACAAAGTCATCCTAATTACACTGTTTTGACTTTGGAAGATAGGAAAATGAAACAAAAACATTAATTATAAAATATATGGAAGCAGCACGATTTTCAAAGGCACTTTCATTCAAAGCTCTTAAAAGACGGATGTCTTGGCTACACAAACCTTTCACAAATTACCATCGTACATCAGTGTAATCAGGTGACTCCTAGACCTATCTTTTACATACACAATATGTAAGGTAAAGAAAATACAGCATTTCTTAATGTAGCAAATATTATTAAAAAGTTATCATATTTTGACGGTTTTATTTGTACGTCACAAGGTTCCAGTTTGGGTAATAGCGAACAGGTTTGTTGGAGATAACCAAGCTTTAAAACAAAACACCCCTGGAAGGTTGGTTCAGAAACCACCTTATACTTGCGGCCTTAATATATATATATCAGTAGATCATAATTAATCTAACTCCAAATGAATTTTACAGTTTAGTTTTTGGCACGTGTCCTGTTTATGGACGTCAAGACTCCTTTGTATATTCATCAATAAACATTATTCAAGTTGACAATACTTGTTTAATTCCTGATATGCTTAATGTATATGTATCTGGTAATACATAAAGTTCAGTATGAAAATTGATATAAAAAAACATGATATGATTTCTTATTGTTTAACACCAAATTACCCCAAAATATTCAAAATTGAAAGACATTTAGAATTTGCTTAACAAAATATTGTGTTGAAACAGATATCGAATTTCGTTATCATATCTTACACATTTAGATACGAATACCTACCATATTGTGCTAATTTAACTACACTTAGCTCCACATCTGACCACTAATCCATAAACATATGCTGAACACAGGCCATTGTGGTGACGGTGTTCTGTGTACCTTTTTCAAACCAAAGGTCAATTTAAAAATAAAGAAGATATTTTTGTAATTTTGCAGCAAAGAACAGTTTCACATAAAATATCCTTTGTAAATATATGTGTTTCACCGAAATAAAATACACAATTCTGATATAGACGTTGGTTTGTTTTGTTTTTATTGTACACTAAGCTAATCTGAGATTGAAGACTTAATAAAACATAATTCAGGTAGTCGTTTTTAAACTTTTATCTTCGTACGATTTATACAAAATAAATTATTTGAAATATTGCACATACTTGAACTAATTGTAAAGCTATATCTCATGTTATTTGTTTCTCCTCTCCCTAACAGTTTTGTGTAATAGTACCATTAGGCAATACATTTACTGAAACTTTAGCCGAAGTGTGAACTTATCCGTCAGCGAATGTTAATTGCCAAAAGGATGATGTCTAAAAAATAATTATAAATACAATATTCCCATTTAATGGCGCACAAACAAAGTATAAGTATGACCTGTTTAATTTGCCAATAGCGCTACCTTCCTACTGATGTGACGGATTAACACTGGCCAAACAACGTAGATCTGGTTCTTTTCTCAATCAAATAAAACAGACAACATTTGGTATTTTCATTGAGTCCAAGTTGAGTGGACATTGAAACATTAGTTTATTACACCGTGACTACGGCAAGTCAATGTCTAACAGTTAATGTCTAACAGTCAATGTCTAACAGTCAATGTCTAACAGTTAATGTCTAACAGTCAACAGTCAATGTCTAACAGTTAATGCCGTGACTACGGCAAGTCAATGTCTAACAGTTAATGCAGTGACTACGAAAATGTATATCAAAGTTTTGCTTTACACACAAACAATGTACTTATTAAACTTGTCTTAACGTTCATTTATATCAAACTTTTATTTTATACACAATGTACGTATTAAACGTGTCGCAACATTGCGGCACGTTTCATACATTAATTGTATGTGTAAAAGAACGTTACAACATTCATACATACAGACATAGTATTAACATAACCGTATACACATATGCAAGACAGTATGTATACTACATACGTAAGTTAATAATTCCTCGATATTGTTTATCACGAATCCGAGATCATATATATTTTTAACTTATTTTTAGAACAGTAAGTAGGATAAGACAAAGCCAAAAATAAAAGTGCCGTTATTGTGCCATTAGAACCGCGCCTTTACACTAACTATGTTTTGTTAGACTCAATGGCAGACAAATGTACTACATATTATCAAATCAACTGTTTACTAATGAAACAATACTTAGTTACCCTGACGAGACAACAATCCGGAATTTCTATTCCGATTCTGATTTGTTGAGGCGTGGTTAGTCAATCACATGCTTGCAGCCAGTTTGGTTAATAGAGAGCCAAGGGGAGTAGCTGTTACCCTAGACGACGACTTCGTCATCATCTTTTTCATTGACATGCTTTAACGCATTAACGATTTTCTGAATTGATACATACATACTAACTTGTTGCTGAATGATTTCATTTATTATAAACACGAGTTAATTACATCTGGGCAAAATTATCAAACTTCCGACATCTTTACTGATAGAAATAAGAATCAACTATCTACAAGATTTTGAGTGTGTTTGTACCTGTGTGAATATTATATACATTTACTTCATGTTTATGCCTATTATCATTCTTGACATGTGATTGTAAATGTATGACGGGAGAAGGCTGTGATAAGTTGCAATAACTTGTGCCCAATGTTTAATTTTATTGGGAATAAACATGTTTAAAGTAAAGCACAAAATGTACGACATGTATGTTTAGTAGTCAAATTAGTAAAGACATATTAGCTCGAGTATAGATTTGTGAGCCAACTTAGGCAACTGACGTAAGGATATGTTATTAAACAAGAATGCGACTGAAAACGCCAAGTATAGAAAAACTTCAAAATCTTCAAAAAAAATCAAATTGTCGAGAGCTGGTAATAAAATTTTGAGTATAGGAGAAAATTAAAGCATTTTCTTCATCTGACAACTCATCATCGGCAAACAGCAGTAAATTACATGAAAGCAAAAGATTTTTCTCAGTGAAGACACGTACACGGAGCAGTGAAAAGGACGGCAGTGTATTAAATAATGTTCATTTGTCTCGTTATTTTCCATACATGAACATAAAAGACTATCAACCGCATTTCTACAAGTAAAAGTTTAGGGAACTGCACTCCATTCTCAGTCAGGTTATTTCCTCTTCAAATAAACGCTAAGTAATTGTGTTTGCACTGAAGCCTTCCACGGCTGCAATATGCACGTGCATCTTTATTGTTTATTGGCGTTGATAACACAGTTTTCGTGACCATCGAAGTACCCTCTTCACACGTGCTACCTTTAACAGTGGGTACAAGCGTGCACTATTTGCACCGCCTGAGGACGATATGTTACCATGACGGCAGACAATTAGCTGTATATAATCAACCGCAAAAAGAAAGACAAACCTATACCCAACAAAAAACGAAACATCAGTCTGATGAGTATGATTTCAGCGCCTCTCCAGCGGCTTTAAGTGGGCCGTCTGGAATACGTATCGTTCATTACATGATGAATAATAATTGATATATTATTTATCGTGAATACGTTAAGTTAAGGTTATATATTTATTAATCAGAAAAACATTCAAAGTCCTTGTGATGGCTAAAAATAAAAGAGCCAATACAAAGAGTTTCTTAGTACCTCCCTAGCGCTTTCACCTCTTTAGAGGAAAACCTGAGGTTTAAAAGTTTTATACAGCTAATTGTCTGCCGTAATGGTAACATATTGTCCTCTGTTTTTCCTCTAAAGAGGTGAAACAATAAAGTTACCTTCTAGTACCAGTCAACACAGACAGGCCAAATAAACCATGTAGCGTAATAAGGTTATAACTGGGAGAGGAAAACTGCACGGCCATGCCGAGACTCGAACTCGCGACCTCCGAACTTTAGACGAACGCTCTACCTGGTCGTCGGCGATCGACACATCCCAATTCCGCAAGCAAAGCAACGATACACGGCATAAATCTCCAGCTCCGTGTTGTCAAGCGTGTCACTCATAGATTCGGAAGTGTGACAACAAAATAAATTCTTTATAGAAAGGGCTGTATATGATCTCACATATTCGGCTGTATATGATCTCACATATTCGGCTGTATATGATCTCACATGTTCGGCTGTATATGATCTCACATGTTCGGCTGTATATGATCTCGCATGTCCGGCTGTATATGATCTCACATGTCCGGCTGTATATGATCTCACACGTTCGGCTGTATATATATGATCTCACATGTTCGACTGTATATGATCTCACATGTTCGGCTGTATATGATCTCATATGTTCGGCTGTATATGATCTCACATGTCTGGCTGTATATGATCTCACATGTTCGGCTGTATATGATCCCATATGTTCGGCTGTATATAATCTCACATGTTCGGCTGTATATGATCTCATATGTTCGGCTGTATATGATCTCACATGTTCTGCTGTATATGATCTCATATGTTCGGCTGTATATGATCTCACATGTCTGGCTGTAGATCTCGCATGTTCGGCTGTATATGATCTCACACGTTCGGCTGTATATGATCTCACATGTCCGGCTGTATATGATCTCACATGTCTGGCTGTATATGATCTCACATGTTCGGCTGTATATGATCTCACATGTCTGGCTGCAGATCTCGCACGTTCGGCTGTATATGATCTCACATGTATGGCTGTATATGATCTCATATGTTCGGCTGTAGATTTTGGGAAGTTATCTTACAGCACAAACAAACCAATTCATGCAAAAGGCTACAGAATAAGCACTTTACAAACGGTTACAATCACATGTAAATGAATTGACAACACGCAGTGTATTGCGTGAACCTGCCAAAAAAACGTAATAGTTCGTTCATCCATAGACTTGACATCTGAGCCGAGAATCTGTGATCTAACATCTGTATTAGAGTCCAAATGTAAAAGATGAAATCTATTTTTGGGAGCCGAAATATTATCAAATTTTGTATCTGATGAAATCAAAAGGTGTGATATTAGTATGCGCACATTTTAGGGATCATTTGCTTTTCATATAAATGAGTTTATGCTTCTCCGAGACTCATAACAAGAAAAACTCAAACCACCAAATGAATGAAAATGAACAACACAGTGCTGGCATTTGAATTTATTCGAATAGAGCCACTAAAATGAACATAGACACAAAAAATAATTAATTTAAAGAAATTCAAACATAGAGTAGTTGCAAACAAATAAAGGAGTAACTAACACACATCAACTATATATACAGTAAACATATTGTGTCAGCTAGACTATGAAAGGTTGGCCAAAAACCGCAACAAAGACACTTCTGTATGCAGCATTCAGAATGCCTTCAAAGAAGCAACCAAAAGCATGTTCACGCCGATGGAATTGAAAAATGAAGTCCTTCGTTAAACACTCCTCTAAGCGAACAAAAGGTGAATATGTTGAGGTTGTAGTATCAGTTTCAGCAGACATTTCTTAAAACAGTTTGGAAAAAAGATGAAGCGTCCCTTCTGTCTTCTAATCACATATATGCATGCAATATTATACTAGATGTCGTTGAAAGATCGAACCGCTAGTTGTAAGCGTCTCCTGTATCGAGTGATGAAAGGCGGGAGCGCATAACTACGGTTTCATTTGTAAGTGTAGTCAAGTAAACCATGCAGACCTGGGTCCTGTTCGTTTATGCGGAACAATCGGTACGTCCGTTTTCAAATGCAACCTTTTGGGGTAAAAACTATGACGGATCTGCTAAAGTGTATGCAGGCCTTGCAAGGCTTGGTCAAGGCTCGCCCGAAATCAGCATCAGATTACTTGGTCCGACGTTATTTCATAAACGAACAACTATGGTCCTATCGGTTCAACCATCTGGATTGCGATAAACGAAAACGGCTTGAGCTTCTCGCCCGGAAACGCCTATATGACGTTCAAAGGGAATCAGTGTGCAGACCAGCAAGAACCTTTGTTCATGATGACAACCATTTTACTTTGAATACAAAATACGATTGTAATTATCAATTTCAGGGTTTGACGAAGTCGCAGACATGCCATGGATCGATTGTATTGTAAGGACTGCCGATCCCTGTCAGATACACAAAGTGTGGATCATCGGGGATCCCAACTTCTTTTCAATTGATATGATCCAAAGCTTTTTTTCAGGGAATCGTGTCATAGAACCAGGAATTGGTGGACCTGGTTAATTGATAAGGTA